TTAATGAACCCTAGTCATCTTCCATAAATATTCAAATCATAATAAATAAATTCTCATCATTTCTATAAATATCTCAATTAATTGAGTTGCATTAGTTGTACAAATGTGATGGATTGCATTTGTAACGTCCTCTCTCTCTCTCTCTATATATATATATATATACATATATATATATAATCACAGATGATTTCGATCTTAGGGGCCATTTATCAAACGCTTACTTGGGTAAGTAAACATCAAGTCACATTACCTTATCAGATGAATATGGTAAGGACCAAAAATCTTATCCAGTAAGAACGAGACAAGAACCAAGAGTCTTACTCGGTAAGTGTGGACGACGACTCTTACCACAATAAGCGTAACCGGATAAATTGTTGCATACGATACCATTTTGGTAGACTAAAATCTTATCCGGTAAGTAAATGATAATGTTAAAATTTCATCAGTAAGCTCTTATTAGGTAAATGTTTGGTAAACGACCCCTTAGACGAACAAAGTCTGGTAATGATAGAAAATAATTGCGCAAGAGAACACCAAACAGACAGACAGACTTCTGCTGAATAAGGGGGTGAGATGGTTTTCCTTTCAGCAAAGGGCAACAATAGCGATGTGTCATGGTGGAACCAACTATCTGAATGACCTTCGAATCCTTTGACCGACACCAAAGAAGTAGTCGTTCTTTTCCCGTTATGCACACATACATACATACATACATACATACATACATACATACATACATACATACATACATACATACATACATACATACATGTGAGACCAGTCTGCTTTTGTGAGACCACATTTTTGCACTTGAAATTTTACAGCAAAAAATTATAAAGATAAAACATTTGAATCTTCACAACAAAAACATTGTGAAAGTTACCTTCACATTGTTTTATTGTGAAGTTTCAAGTGTAAAAAGATGATCTCATGGGTCTCATTGAAAACTGGTTAGGTCTCACATGAATCCAACTATATATATGTGTGTGTGTTTATATATATATATATATATATATATATATATATATATAGTATTTTATAATATTTGAATAAAAAATTATTACTGGTAATCCCAACCGGATCCACACAAAACTTGCCTCCAAAGACACCAACTTGAGGCGACATTTTTTTGGCTCACACAACAACTAAAACTAGCTTGTGCATGCCGAGGGATTGAATACGGAACCTGTCTTATATTTGAAAAATATCATCACCCTTATTTATGTAACTGAACTACATATTAAAGGCAATATTTTATATAAAATGCATATTAGAATAATAAAATATTTAACTATTTTAATTTAATCATTTCATGTAAACCACAAGGGCCAATAGTGTAATTTACTCTTAAAAATTATGAAGACAACTGGGCCAATCCTCGTTGAATTCATTCATATGTGAATATAACCATGGGCCATGCCCATGACTGACAGCCCATCATAAACTCAACAAAATTGGAGGGAGTCCGTGATTCAATGGCTCATCCATGAGGACCATGATTAACATTTTAAATTCCTTATCTTATTTAGATAACATTTTTTATATACTATAAAGAGTGAATTACCTGGTTGTTCATGTGGAATAGGCATGACAACAGGCAGGGATGAGGCGGGTTTTATAATCCTCGACCCCGGTTTTTAGTAACAGCCTCTGGTCTCGACCCCGGTTAAACCCCTGCCAAATTCCGGTCAAACCCCATGAAAAATATCTGTTAGTTTGAGTCTATCGGGGGATCCCCGAAACCCATTTTAGCAAGGAATCCTCATCCCTGTTCGGGTCGGGTGAACTGAGTTCCCCATCGGGTTGGGGCAAATCACCATCCTTACTGTAGTATGCTCAGATTTTTTTATATATTTTGGATTTGGTCTCTAAAATAAGCTATCTATAATTTTTCAATTTCATAACATTTAAGGTGCTCGAAGTTAACATCATCAGTTAACAACCGTTAAAAGTGACAAATCAATCTTTAGAAAAATCACAAGGACAAAAAGTGTAATTCCCTCTAAAATTAATTGTGATATACATTTTTTTTGAATATTTCTTTATTAAAATTATATTAAGTACACTTATTGCGTAATAATTATATATTAAAATTTGTTCATTAAGATAAATAATTTTCATGTTTTTAAAAATTAAAATATTATAACACATTATTATATTGAATTATCAAATAATTGTGAATAAATTATAACAATTAAATTGATAAATCAACCAAAATATTTTTGTTAACTGTGTTTAGAATATGAGTAAACTACAAATTTGGTCCCTTTGGTAATAATATATTTTTTGTTTTACAAACGCATAAAAAATGTTCACATTGTAAAACAAATATATGTTAATCAATATTCATAAATCATAATCTTAGATGAAAAAAAAAAATCATATGAAATAACACATAATGTACAAATTATTAAAGTTATTACAATTTCATGGGCTCTCAAAAGAAGGTTTTCCCTTAAATATAATTATAATTATTTTCAAATGATAATTCAAAAAAAATTGAAATATGATAAGTTAAAAGATTTTAGACTTTAAACTGTTCAATTAATTTACTTTTACCAGTTTAATTTTTTGTAAATTAGGTAAAAAGTTTAACTGATCTTTAGAATTTCTAGCTCACGATTTTTGATACGTCATAGGTTTATTAATCGTTAAAAATATCTGCAAGATTTAAAAGATGCTTGTCCATCTCTAATTTGGATCTAAATTTACATTTTCGTTTTTGTCCTAACTGATTGATGTTTTATATAACGTTTGTTTAAAAAAATTGCGATTGACAACCTCGAGTCGATCCACATCACCTGGCCCTTAGATCTGCATGAGAAACGAATCAGATACACAATAACATCTACGTAATTTGCTTAAGTGTTTCACAAAGAATCTAATACAGAACCAACTATAAAACACACTGGGCTGTTTGACAATTGTTGAATGATTTGGTGCAGAATGATTGAGTGATCAGAATGATTAAGAGGCTCTCATGATATAGTGCAAAATGAAATATAACTGTTTGGTAATTGTGTACAATGAAAGTAGGGGTCTTAATGGTTAAGGGGGATCCATGATACAAAATCATTCAGAAGGTTTTAGAACCATTAAGAAGCAAACTTTTTTTTTTGCCAAACAAGATTCACCCCTTAACGATTCAGAGGTTGCCTCTTAATGAAACTATTAAGAGGTAAACAAACAACCCCTTGGAGTCTATCTATACAGTGTTGTGGTTCTTTGTTTTTTTTTCATTTATTGTAACAATAAATAGACTGCGAATTTGATCTATATAATCTTTTTTCTTAAATATCCTTTTAAGAAAAGAACAATATTTTACGACATACAGATCGACTGAATGGATCAAAAATTGTCCAATGTAGTTAAATTTTATAACCCATTGGGTCGGGTTTTGACTCCTTTTCAGAATTGGGCTTTATATAACGGGCTTGCAATGAAAATTGTTTCTGTTATTTGAATTTTTAATTTTGTTACTCGTCAATCGTCATCGCATATTTCGTGGACGAGTTCACAAAATTTACACGAGTTGCTTATCAGGGATGTCGAAAGTATATTAGTTGCTATACGATGACAATTTATTATGGACATTTATTTTGGAATAATGAGGATATTTTATAAGAATATCTCCAACAGATTCTCTAAAATGTAGAATCAAAAGTCAAAATTCAAAAAATTTATCATTTTCCAACAACTTACAATATGAATTAAATTAATAATATATTTAACACATTTCATAATTTTTTTTTTCATTTTCCAAGTATACTTGTCGGTATTATTTAGTAAAACATATCGAATGTTGGGATAGCAAAAAACCCTGAAACCGATGATAAAAACCGAAAACCGAAATTTTAGGTGTCCAGTTTGGAAACTTCTTATCGGGAACAGGACTGGGGACGGTGGCATATGTAATTTACTTTTAGTTGTAAAATTAACATCTTGTAGTTTTTTGGGTTGGTTTTGGTTTCATGTATAACCAACGGTGAACCGGGGTTTTTACTCTTAACAGGTTTCCCAAGAGAAACATGGGGCCCTGATGGAAGTCGAAACAATTACGGGAACAAATTTAGTTATCGTATTTAGGAATGGGATAACCACTACAACAAAATTGGGTTTATAGGACACTCCCAATTTTTAAGCGTCCTAATAGAGCTCTTTATAAAACTTAATTTATAGAACCAAAAAAGTAAAGTGTTCTATCTAAAAGTGTTGTAATAAATTTTTATAACGTTTTTCGACTTCGTAATAAGTTTTTTAAGACACTTTTAATATAAAGCGTCTCATTAGCAACTTTATAGAACATTATTTGAAAAACTGTCATATAAAAACAAGTATCATATAAAAAAATGAGTTTATATGACACTTTCTCAAAAGTGTCATATAAAGTTGCTAATACGACACTTTGTATTAAAAATGTTCTAAAAAACTTGTTAAGACGCCCAAAAACGTCATATGAACTTATTACAATACCTTTAGATAAGATGCTTTATATTTTAGTCATATAAATTAAGTCCTACAAAACAGTCTATTAAGATATTTAGAGATTGAAGGAGTCTTATAAACTCAATTTTATCATAGTGAATCCTCATATCCTAATCGAATGTGATTCTGTCTTCTATCTTATTATTTTTAAATTATAATTATAAATATCTGATAATTATTGAAAATCAACAAATTCATTTTATTTATTATCGTTATTATTATTATTTTTTTTGGGGGGGGGGGGACAAGCAACTGATTATGAATCTACTCACAGGTGAATAAACCAACTCAGCCGCCGCTGCCACATGTGAACCAGCTCTAACAACGCGCTTTTCTAAAAGTTACGATTTTAGTCCTCATGGTTTGTTAATAATTCAATTTTCGTCCTTATATTTTACAGATAGCAATTTTCATCCCTATGTTCTATATATAATCTCAACTCCATTCCAGACTTGTATCCATTCATTTCCTTTCAAAACCCCACCAATTCATCCTCCATTCCATTTCCAATGATGACACCAAAAATGGTAGCAAATCTCCGGCGATCACTCTCATTCTCCAACACTCCATCACCGCCGCCACCACCGCCACCGCCGTCTTCTTCCACCTCTAAAACCGCCGGAAAAAGGATCCACTTTAGATCCATCAGTCTGCCCACCAGATCCCATCCCATACTCTTTCAGCTCAAATACCACCTCAACCAACTCAAATCTCAATGGGGATCCGATCCCACACCCGAATCACTCCATTCGAATCGGATCTTGGATGCTTTGATCCGTCTACGGACCATTCTAGAATGTCTTGACGACCTTCTCGACCTTGCGCCGTCAAGAGACTCCCTCCGCCGCCACCCTGAGTGGGTGGAGAAGGTTCTCGAAGACTTTCTTGTTATGGTCGACGTCTATGGAACCTTCCAGATGCAAATTTCGACACTGAAACAATGTAACATCGCAGCACAGCTTGCTACAAGAAGAAAAGACGGGTTGAAAATTTCTGTTTGTATAAAGGGTTTGAAGAAAACGGGTCGAGAGATTTTCAAGCTCATGCCTTTTCTCCATGGAATCCAGGAACATAACCCGAGTAATTATAACATAACTGGGTCAGATCCGAATCCGAATCCAGATGTTGATCTTGTTGGAGTGATAAGAGGTGTGGTTGAAGTGATTGTGATGATTTCAGAAGCAGTGTTTGGTGGGATATCCGGGTCGTTCGAGACCCGGAAAACTTCATGGATGATGGGCTTGAAGAAATCGAAGAGGGAGAAGGGAATTGCAGAGCTTGAAAATGGGATATGGAGTTTGAGAAGTTATGAAGATGAGGTGATGAAGAAGAAGAAGATGATGAAGGAGATGGAAGAATGCATAGATGGGATTGAAAGTGGATGTGAAAGGGTGTTTAGGGGTTTGATAAACACAAGGGTTTCATTTCTCAATGTACTTACACAATAACAACAACAAAAACGACGATATCTCTTGGGACGACAGTGGATATCTGGGCTAGCTTAATTTTGCGTACCGACTGATTTCCGAAACCATGATCGATCTTGAGTCATCGTAGGAGAACGTCTACGATGAAACGGGCTATTTGAAGACTTTGATGATATGTTTTTGGAAATTTTTGTTCCAAAATGGTTTTAAAGATTCTTTTATTTTTGTTACTTTGAACATAATTGGCAAAGAAATTAAAGTTAAATATACAAATATTGAGTGATTTGATTTATAGATGAATGGTGTATTTGTGTTTATTTACTTGATGCACATGGAAAAGTTGTACTCCTTTTTGTTTAAAAAAAGCCCATGAAAGATAGATTTAATAAAAGTAAATAATTAAAATTCAAAAATTAATATTTTAATAAAACAAAATCAAGAAATTAAAACAAAAATCAATGTTAATTATCAATATTTTGTAATAATTACTAATGGATAAATACATAATTTTAAATTCAATCTTGCTAAAACACATAAACGTGTACATAAAAGATGATATTGACCACATGGGTGGTGTCTGATTGGTTTGAGCTTAAACTCCAATGTCAAAAGTGCCTGAAAGCTGAAGGTCTCAGGTTCAAATCCAATGAGAAATAAAAATGTCCTTTGTGGTTATGGAGGTTCAATTGCGATGACTCTGTGCTACCCACGAAACAGGTGATCATCCTGGAATTAGTCGATTCGGACAACGGGTTAGATATCTAGGTTAATAAAAAAAAAGAACAGGATTTAAACCAAATACAAAACAAGTCATGTGTTCGATCTCAATATCTACTGTTAGACTTAGCTGCTGAGTGAGACAAAAAAATGTTTCATCGCATTGATGTCCATTTGAAGGTAGGATTTCAAATTGAAAAGAAAAACCCTTTGCGTTTAGTGATGAAATCTAAAAATTACTAACAAAAAAAGACCATCCGTAAATAATACTCAGAAAAATGAAATACGAACCCATGATTTGACAGTCTTCTGAAAAATCATTCGTGAGTATAATATATAATTAACTGCCCATGCATATTACCGAAGGATTACTGACAATCATGTTTGTTAGTACCACAATCGTTGGAGAATACAATCCTACGATAACTTCAATACCGTGGCTTTGTGAGAGTCGTCTATAATTTTGAATTTATGAAATAAAATATTTATAGATTATATGTAATAACACAAATTATCTTGCTTAATTAGGAAGAGCAGAAGCTAGATAACAACTGTTCCAAAACCTTGACCCTTAACGACAAATGAACGATAGATTCTGTTTGTGGCTAATCCGTGTTAATTCAATTCGTTGCTAAAACGTTTCTATTTTATGTGTATATATAAATGTGTTGGTGTTTTTTTTATTATTATTTCGTCGATGATTAACGACTGATATGATCGTTCTATGATATCTTATCGGTGATGCTATGTTTTCTAGTGAGGAGACATCTGCATGTGGAACTTGAAATCACGAAGTTTACCTTAGTTTTTGTAGCAATAATTAAGATTGTTCTCATAAATGCGGGGATACGAAGTACGATGCTTTTTAATAATAATTTTTAATATTAATTTATTAAATTAGATATTTATAACAATATATTATATTATATATATATATATATATATATATATAATATAATATGTAATATATACATATTATAAGAATTGCAAAATTTTCCAGCATTCTTCACTTTTGAAATAATTTAGGGAAAGGTTAAAAAAACGGTTGAATTTTTTTTTTTTGAATTATTAAGTTTAAAAATATTTTTTAAATTAATACACTATTAAACTTTCTTATTTTAAATGAATAAATCAATAATTTTTTTAATAAATAAAATATCAAACTTTTAAAAATTGATTGGTTATATCTTAGATGCCATATATATGAGCCCCATGGCTATTGGTTTCATGCATCCAAATTTTCAACTAGATGTAAAATCCAATGTTGGACAGTGTGATCTTTATCGGTCCTAGAAATACTGTCTGAAGCATGATTACAAGGCATATACGCACCGCATCAGCGTCTGAGATTTATTGATTATTTAAGTCGATTAATTTATTTCTAAAATGACTGACTTTAATCTCAACATGGTTGATCATTTTACCAAACAACCTTGTATTTATTTAGGGAATGGTACAATATGGTGGACGAAACTCGGACCCAAATCGAAAACCCGTGATCAAACAGAACTCATGTATGCTAAATCGTAAATGGAACCATCCAACACGATAATAGATTTATTCGGATTGAGAAGAGAAAGAGAGATCCTTACATTGCACCATCGAATTAATTAATGTTTGATCTCCATGTGGGTTAGATATATCTAACCATTGGGCAAAACACGTATGTCTAAACAATTGCAACCTCCTTGAATTATTCATTAATTTCTCGTTAAGTTTTTAGTAACTTGTATTTAGGCTCTCAATTTCACTAAAAAAAAATCACAAATTAAATGTTGTATAAAAATAATCCAAACAAAAATAAAAAATAGATTATTAAGTTAAATACTAGATAAAAATAGATTATTAAATTAAAATAAAAAAATTAGGAATTAAAAAAGAATTTGTATAAATAAGTTTGTACTGTTTAAATCTTAAAACCATGCATTAATTTCAACAACCGCATGCATGTTAGTTTGTGAAAACATCCTTCAAACACTTCCTAAAATAATCCCACCAATTAATAATATATATTTTATATATAATTCATTTATATATAAAATAAAGCAACAAAATATAGATGCAATTATGAGACATATTCTGACCTGTGAACTGGGAAATATATATATATATATATATATATATATAATAATAATAATAATAATAATAATAATAATAATAAAGCAATTCAGATGTCTGAAGGAGAATTAAAATTGAGCAAGTTGCATGTCGTTAATAGCTGGATGGATGATCAAATGAAACCCGTTAATGTTAATAAAGGCATATTCTCTCTACACCAATCCCTTGCACATGCTTTTCCTGCTCCATCCTCATTTATTTCAATTAAAATTTGTTTTTATTTTCAAAAAGCAATTCATAATTAATTAAGATTATATAGATAGAGAGAAAAAAAAAAGATTTACCTTGCAAAGCATGTTATTTGTATAAACCATACAAACCCCATTCAAACAATTATATTTTTTTTTGTTTATGTTTTGTAATTATGAGAGGTTGATTAATCATTTTTATTGTGGATGGTGTTAATCACGGATATTATCATCTTTATTATATTAATTTTAGAGAAATACATGAAATAGTTTCATTAAAATTTCATAAATATTATATGAAACAATTTCATAACCATATATGAAACAACTTCATAAAAAAAAAATATATGAACAATTTCATAAGATTAAACAATAAAATCAACAGATAATAGTGGTTTGTACAAATATGAGTGATTTACATTTGATCGCTCATATATATATATATATATATATATAGGGTATATTTCAAATGCAACCATGTCTATTTGTACAACCAATGCAACCATGTCTATTTGTACAATCAATGCAACCCAATTAATTAAGATATTTATAGAAATGATGAAAGTTTATTTATTATGATTTGAATATTTATGGAATATGAATAAGGTTCATTACTTATGATCAATATTTTATATTAGAAAATAATTAAAACTTCTATGAAATCACATATTCATCAAATTAAATGGACGGTTGAGATTGAGTTGTATTAGTTGTATAATTAAATATAAAGGGTTGTATAATAACCAACCTCTACATACACACACACACACACACACACATATATATATATATATATATATATATGTGTGTGTGTGTGTGTGTGTTATTATACAACATCTACCATTTGTACAACCAATACAACTCAATCTCAACCGTCCATTTAATTTGATGAATATGTAATTTCATAGAAGTTTTGATTGTTTCCTAATATAAAGTATTGATCATAATTAATGAACCATATTCATTTTCCATAAATATTTAAATCATCATAAATGAACTCTCATCATTTCCATAAATATTTTAATTTATTGGGTTACATTGGTTGTACAAATGCAATGGGTTGCATTTGAAACAAACACACACTCTCTCTATATATATATATAATTGGTGCATGGTTAATTAATGAAGGCACTTGTGTTAAGCCTTTTGTATGATGAGGAATAATAGTTGGTTCTAATGCAAGTTTCCAAAAGAATAGGAATCCAAATCATTAATTAATTTGTAGACTTATCTACAACTTCATCATATTGGATTCCTTATCTCATCTTCTCCTTAACTTTTTTAATTGCTTTGCTAAAATAAAAGACACCACCTTTTACCTATAATTACTTATAAATCATGAAACCACTCTATTTTATATGATTTTTTACATATGATTAAAATTTAATGTATTAACATAATATGAACGTTTTTTTATGTATTTGTGAAATAAAAATATATGTAAAAGAGTTTCAAATTATAAACCGAATACATATTAAACAAACTCCTTTTGAAACAAATATTTGTTAATTAGTATATTAAATATTATTTTCAAATGAAAAAAAGTATGTTAAACAAAACTTTAAGGTAGAAATTCTCAAAAATCTCACAAATTTTGGAATTCTAAAATAATAATTAAGTACTCTCTCTCTCTCTCTCTCTCTCTCTCTCTCTCTCTCACACACACACACACTCACTCATGGGTTGGGTTGATCAGGTTGAGGACATTTGAACAACCCAACCCAATGCTTGCAGTTTGGAAAAATCTTAACCCAATCTAACTCAAACCAAAGTACAACCCAACCCAACTCGTACGGGTTGGTCGGGTTGATACTTTAGTATATTAAAATATTCTTCTAACCTTGAATATGTTATTTCTCTACTCATAATTTCTTTTTCATCATTAACCATTTGATACAACTTATTCATATTTCTTACGTATATCACATTCAATTAATTTTCTCAATTTACATATATATGTTCACAGTTACTGAATGAGTTATATAGAGATATGAATAGATTGAAAATATGTGTATATGAAAAACATACATGATAATGTAATTGTCTAATGTATATATTAATATAAATTCAACAATCATATTAAATCCAAGAAATAAAAGAATATCGGGTTCATCGGGTTGGGTTGAGTTGAGTTCAAATAATATTAACCCAATACCTATGGTTTGACAATTTTACAACTCGATTAGACATCGGGTTGCTTCGAATTGAGTTATTTCGCGTTGGGTTGGGTTAAACGGGTTGGTCGAGTTTTTGAGCACCCCTACTCTCTCTCTCACACACACTAAAAAAAGACTAAAATATGGTGCCCATATGTATACAATATAGTTTTCGCCTTTTCACATGAATTCACGAAAAGTTACGTGATTATGTGATATGTACATGTTCTTTCAATCTTTTCAATATGGTTTAGTGGTTTACACGGTAGATGTATTAATTTAATATTCTTGTAACTAGCTAGAAGCACGTAATTACCAACACATTTTCTCAAGTTGCATATGAACCCATCATGACTAATCTCAGGATGATCACCTGTTTTGCATATAATCCGGAATCATCGCATTTGAACCTTGGTGACCAAAAGGGGATTTTTCTTCCTTATTGGATTCAAACCTATAAGCTCATGATACTTTTGACATTTGGAGTGTCGAGCTCAAACCAATCAAACGCTACCTTTGTCGTTGTCATAAAGAGCTTTTGGTATGATTAAACACGTGCTTCCTTTATCCTAGTAACACGTGGCAATAAAGACACGCGGCGCCGTATCTCCATGCCACGCCCACATAACACGAATGATATTTCCAAAAAGGAAAAAAAGAAGCAGCAGAGAACAGAATGGTTTTTCTTATATATGAAAATGAGAGGACAAAAGTTTAGGCAATCACGAAGGTCGCCAAAATGGAGAAAAAAACAGACAAGGAAGAGAAGAGAGTGTACGAGGAGGAGGGCGGCGGCGAAAACAGGCTGAGCCACCCTACTATTTCAACTATGGAGCCTCTCACCCACGAAGCTTACGGCGGTGGAATGTATGGGAAAGACGACCGTCAGCCACCACCCAGGAATCCAAGGGAACCACCGGCTAGTGAAACACAAAGTGCTGATGGACCGTCTGAAACGGCACCGGTGGAACTTAAGCATAAACCACCACCATCTTCCGGCGATCGAGATATTGATATCACCGGCCAATCTTACATCCAGTAGCCTTACCTTAGCTATGATCAACAAACATATATATATATATATATATATATATATATAATGGATTTTGTTGTTTTTTAATTTCTTGCTTTTTTGGTTTTCTGTTAAGTTTTTTGTGTATAAAATCAGATCAATATAAATACACTATATATATATATATATTCATTTCTACAGCTTGACCCCTCGGGTCCAGGAATCTAAGAAATAGTGAGAGTTCTTGATCTCTCTTAATATCTCTTTCAATTTTAAAATCCAGAACTTGAATTCATGTTCTGTCATTAAATTCAAAATTTTTCATATTTCTAATATTAAACAAAAGGATTCGCAAATAAAAGTGCTAATGCTATAACCAGGCCATAAATTGTTAAAA